TACTTTTTTCTCTCAAGTTTATTGAAGTACGATTGACTTACATTAAGTGTACATAACTAAGTATAAATTTAAACAGTTACCACAGAGACAATAGTAAAACAGGAAGAAAATATTCCAATATCAGATTCTCAATTTGTCTAGTGATATAGTCTGCCGGGAATTCACTGCTAAAACAAGACAACATTTTTCTGGTTGTTTTTATCCTCCATGGGAGAAAAATAGGCATATTCCTCCTTTGTGATATACAGCTCTAGAAAGTCATAGCTGAACCTCCAGTAAATTTTCAGAGGCTTCTAAAAGTTAGAGAGTTAAGATCCTTTGTGAGTCTTTTCTCTGAAATTTTTTATATCACATAAATAACTTTAATTGAGTACAAGTCTGTTTGGGTAAAACAGAGGCAGCTCACTTTTTACTGATGAGCTCAAATTGACCAAATATTGAAGAATAAATTAGAATTTGAAATGTTTGGTTTCTTTTGGCATAGTAGTTAAACAGTTTTCCTGCTGGTGATAGTTCAAACATGCCAGTTCCTTTGGGGTAGAAAGATGAGGCAACTTTTCCATAAAGATTTATAACCTCAGAAACCTAAAAGACAGTCCTACCCTTCTATTTAGTTTTTATGAGCCAGAGTCAACTTGAAGACAATGGATGGGCTAGTTGGACTGATCATATGATAGAAAAAGAGATATTGAGGCATAGTGTCAAAAGTTGACATATAATAACTTGTATATATATAATATGAAAAATCATAAGGATATTTTATTTAAAATATTTTTTAAATTTTGTACTGGTTTCTTTCAAAGTTCATATATATTGTTTTCCCCATTTTCTCTACCCAACCCTCCCTCCCTCAACCCATCAAATTGTGCAACCTCAGTGACTAATCCCCCCTTCCCTCTCCCTCTGCTCTCACCTTCTCCCCCTTAGATCTTCATACACGTTCAACAATAATGGTCTTATACAGTTTTTGTATATATACTCTATAAAATCACTTGACTGACTTCACTGAGCATAATACTTTCCAGTCCCTCCCAGATCAGGTAGTGATTTACAGAACATTATTCCTGTGTGCTGCATAGTATTCCATTATATGAATGTACCATAATTTTTTAATCTATTTGTTTGTGGTTGGACATTTGGGCTGTTTCCATGTTCTTGCAATGGTGAGTAGCAGCACTGCTAGGAACATTGCTGTATTTGTGCTTCAGTAAATTCACGTGTGTCATTGGTCTGTCAGCAACTTAGTCCTTGGGGCAGTTCTAATTTTAAATATCATCATATAGATCTGCTATTAATACCAATTTCATATTGTTTTGGTACATTTATATGATATGCATATAAATATCATTTCAAAGTATTATTGTATGATTTGATCACATAGATAGATTAATTAAAATAAGTTATTGTTTGTTGTTGTTATGTGCCGTCGAGTCGTTTCCGACTCATAGCGACCCTATGCACAACAGCCCTAAACCCTGCTCTATCCTGCACCAACCGCACCGCCTCTGACACACCCATCCCGATTACCTCAGTCACCGAATCAATCCATCTCATAGAGGGTCTTCCCCTCCTGCACTGTCCCTCCA